TGTTTTTTTTGTTTAGGGTTGGGGTTTAGGGTTTGTTTTTTTTTTTTTAGGGTGAGGGTTTAGGGTTTTGGGTTTTTTTGTAGGGTTAGGGTTTAGGGTTTAGGGTTCAGAGTTTGGGATTGATGGTATAGGGGTTAGACTTTAGGATGAACCTTTTTAGGACGGTCTGGGTGTGGTTTCGGTGTTCATTGTAGTAGATGTGTCCCACGCTTAGGTTGTGAGCCATTGACTGTACAGGGGTCAAGGAGTCAAGCATGCAATGTTCCTGGCTTGCTTTTTTGAAGCTGAAATGGGTACAGGTAAGGTTTCAGGTATTCGTTGTATCATATCGACTTCCGGATACTTCGGTCTTGCGAGGGGTCCCTGGCTACCTAAGAATATGATTGCAATGGCGGCTCTATTCCTTTAGTTAGTTGTGATCACTTCTCCTGGCCTTCGATTAGCCTGCTTGTTGTTGTGAGCAGTGGCGGCGGTGGTGGTGGTGGTATGAAGTGAAAGCATGAGTCGACCGGTTTCCTTTCGCTTCTCATGGCTCCTGCTGGCCTTTGCTGGGAGCAAAGACCCCAATATCCAATCATCGACGGCTCCCTTATCCCACCCCCTAAACTGTAGACCCTATACCCTCAGCCCTCAGCCCCTAAACCGTTTTCGACCACACCCAAACCTGTCTTGCCCCGTTTTTCGTTCATTGCAGAATCCCCAAATCCTGAAACCCCAAAACCACAAGAATCAACGCCCAAACTTCCCCAAACCCTTAATCCATCAACCCTAAACCCTACACCCTCCACCCTAAACCTTAAACCCTAAACTTCTAAACCCTCAACAGTAAACCCGAAACCTGAAACCCTCAGCCCTAAACCCGAAACCTGAAACCCTCAACCCTAAACCCTAAACCCTCGCCCCTAAACCCGAAACCTGAAACCCTCAACCCTAAACCCTAAACCCCTAAACCCTTATAGACACTTATAGATCCCTTTAGAGGAACCCCTATAGATCCCTTTAAAGCAACCCCTTAATTCCCTTTAAAGGAACCCTTATAGATCCCTTTAAAGGAACCCTTATAGATCCCTTTAAAGCAACCCCTGAATTCCCGAAAACCCTAAACCCGGGCCAAGGAAAAGTTCGACCGGAACGGAAATGGGAAGCTTAGCTCTCAGGTCCGCACCTGCGAACGTTTAGGGTTTAGGGTTTAGGGTTGTAGGTTCAGGGTTTAGGGTTTAGTGTTTGGGGTTTAGGGTTTAGGGGTTGGGGTTTAGGCTTCGGCTTTGGGGTTCAGGATTGGAGTTATTGTTTACGGTTTAGGATTTAGGGTCAGGCTTTAGGATTTAGGGTCTAGGGTGTGCAATGGGGTTCAGGGTTCAGAATTCAGGGTCAAGGGTGTCGAACTTTTGCGGTACAGCTTTGGGTTTTAGGATGGCTCTGGGTCCAGTTATAGAGCTCTGGGTTTGAAGCTTACCTGTATCCGAAAAGACCTACCTTTTCAAGGACCTATATATAGCAAACCATAATAAGAAACCCTAAAAACTTTTTAGGGTTTCTTATTATGTTTTGCTATATATACCTTTAAGGTAGGTCTTTCCGGCTACAGGTAGAGTTTAGGGTTTCGAGCTCGGGGTTAGCGTTTAGTGTTTTCCGCCTCAGGGCCCAGCCTTCCGACGTAGGCTGTAAGGGTTGGCAGTTCATGACCTAGACCCTAAAACCTAAACGTTTGTTGACAGTTTAGGGAGACTTCCGGAGATCTTCTGGGATGCTGCGTTGCATCTTGCAAAAAAGAGCAGTTTTAGGGTGTAGGGTTGTGGGTTGAGGGCTTAACCCTAAGCCCTAAACCCTAAACCCTAAACCCTGCTTAGCGCCTTTATCCGACCCACCCGGCGAGGAAATCTCCATGATGCTGAAAGACAGCAGCCTTGACATCTCAGATGCTGACATCGAGGCAAAGCCTCGGGTTTAGGGCTTAGGGTTTAGGGTTTAGGGTTTACGGTTTAGGGTTTGCCCTTGTTCCGAATATAGGGGTCCCTCATATAGTACCCTAAATAGCAGGACCCTTATCATAAGGACCCCAAAATAAGGTACCCTAATTGTCGGAAAACTCCCATATACACCAAGAACCGAAGCAGGTCTCAAGGTAGCTCCGAAGCCCGAGATCCTAAGTTTGACGTCAGAAATGTGTGTGGGCCGATGTGGCCGTGGTGCCGGGTGTTTAAGGACGTTACAGCCTAGCTGGGCCTAGCTCATCGCACAACTCGTAACCCTAACTGGACCCCAAGCCCTGAATCCCTAAGCCCTAACCCCAAACCTTGAATCCTACTATTCAAAAACTGCTTCACCCGTACTCAGGGGTAGGGATTGCGGTGTATGTCATGTTTCTTGTTGATTTTGGGTTGAAGGGCTTTAGGGGCAACAGGTTCATGGCACAAGAACCGTTAGCTCCAACCACCCTTCGGGGCCCTGAGTAAAATGCTCTTGCCATTCCTGCCAAGGCTTTTGTGCATGAAGCGGACGTGGCAGCTCGGTTTGATCTATGGAAGCTTCGCGTTCAAAGTTCAATTTGTTGCCAATACCAGCAGAGACAACAACCACTGCGATGGTGGCAGCAACAACAACTACACCACGAAGAAGAGAAGCAACACAGCAGCTGTGGGAGCAACAGCGACAACAGGTACAGCTGCCAACATACTCGTACTGTTCACGCTATTAGGTATAACTGGCACTACGAATACTACTGGTACTGGTAGAGGAAAAATAGGGGCCTTCATGATTATATACCTATACCGTTTTGGGGGTTCCATATTATAATTGTAGTATAATATACCCCCCAAGCCCTATTCGAATTATTAAGGCCCCTACAGTAGTATTACTACGAGTAGTCGTTGTCGCAAGGGCCTTGTGCATTCTTTAGTTTCGAGATGATAGCAAGCCACCGAAAGGATCTGAGCTTTGAGCTGGAGCCTCAATGATTAGAGTTGGTTTTGTGGTTGTAGTTACGGCTATAGTTCTACATACAGAAAAGGTATAACATAGCATGGTATAGTACAGTAGAGTATAGTGTAGTATAGTATAGAGGAAGGCAGAGTAAGTTAGAGCAAAGTAGAGTAAAGTAGAGTACAACCCAAGGATGCCTCAGGCTATAAGGAATAGTAGCAGAAAGGATCTCAGCGGTGAGCTGACGTTCGACGAGTTCCTCCACATTCTTCAGTCCAAGCAGAGGGCTGGAACTGGGGTTTGGCTCTGTTGGGGATTGTTGCCTTCCGGCGGTTGACTTTGGCAGGCGTAGCTCGTGCAATGCTTGTATGATCACAGTATTTCAGACAAGCGGGCTTTTGCCTTTGAGCTCTCTTACTCGCTGTAAGCCTGTGCACGCGCACCACGGTGAGGTCAGGGTTCTTCAACTTTTGTGCACTGGACAGTACCTTTGGGTGGAAAAGTTTAGGATGTAGGGTTTAGGGTTTAGGGTTGAAAAGTTTAGGATTTAGGGTTTATGATTTTGCGGACACCAGAGTCTGAGAAACTGGACGCCCGCTCCTTGCACCTTGGCCCGGAGCCTTCGAGGACCCACCGGGATGTGAGCACCAGAGCTAAAACCCTACTTGGAGGATCATGGGACTTAGTAAGTAAGGTTATAAGTCCCCCAATTGGGGTTATAAGTATAGTTACCCTAATTATAACCCTACTTACTAAATCCCATGATCCTTTAAGTAGGAGTCCGCCACGGTCTTCGGGACTGCCTATAGTCTGCATTGTAGTCCCTTTCTGGGGATGCATTATAAGATCCTTCTTATGTATTTGGTGAAAGCAGAAAAAGGAACTACAATGGAGACTATAGGTGTTCTCAATTCCAAAGTTTCGTGACTGCTGCACAAGCAAGTCGCAAAACCCTAGCACCGTAACACAGCGAAGCGCTAGCACCCTCGACTCTACAAAGGCCCAAGACCCTCAACCCCACAACCCCAAAAACCCTAAACCACAAACACCTAAACCTCGTTAGGCCCTAAACTTTACGAACCCCCAGCCCCATGACTTGCTGTGATGAGCATCGTGACACTGTTTGCTTCGTGGACACCAAGACGCCCCGGCAGGGCCGCGATCTTTCAGCAGAGCTCGTTGAGGCTTTCAAGGTCGCGCCGGGATCCGGGAGAGCCTGCACAGAGTTAGCATAAGGTTCTCAACTACGGGGTACTTTGCAGGTGGGTAGAAGGTTATTGTAAGTGCAACTATGCGTAACAAGAAGGGGTGCTAGAAAGCTTTACCTTAAGAACCCAAAACCCACTTTTTTGTAGGTTCGTATTATAAACCCTAATATGGGATTTATAGGGACCCTACAAAAAGTAGGTTTGGGGTTCTCAAGGTACGGAAAGGTCATTATGAAGGCTACTTCAGACGACATTTCTGGCTTTCTCAGTGCCAGCCGCAAACCCGGAATGCAGTACCGCTGGTGCAATGTGGCAAGCAAGAGATTGAGCACTGAGCCCCAGACTCCGGGTCTAGGGTATGGGGGTGTAGGATTTATAGGGTTTAGGGTTTAGGGTTTAGGGTCTGGGGTTTGGGGTTTAGGGTTTAGGGGTTTAGGGTTTAGGGGTTTAGGGTATGGGGATGTGGGGGTGTAGTGTTTGGGGTTTGGGCGTTTAGGGTTTAGACCCGAAACCCAAAGCCACAACATGGACTAATTACATCACACCCCTAAAAGAGTCCCAAAACCGAACCCCCCTGGACCGAGACCAGCGCCCAGGAACCGAAGAGTGCACCCTGATCCCCACATCCGGAATCAGAAACCTAAGCCCTGGGTCGCCGAAGTGTCAGCGAAGTTGCACATCGTGAGCCTGAATGCCTTCAATATCTACTATCTATTATTTGTTGCGTCGTATCCAGCATATTATCCTCTCTGTATGTAGAATACATTCCTGTACCCCCACAGGCAATTCCAACCCCTAACTCTGCATGACGCCCGGCACTGAAGTTGGTTCAAGCGGGACAGAAAATTGGAAGAGCCGTTGCTCTGTGCCATGGCGACTTCTGCAGCATCCCTCACCGCACCTCTGCGCTTCCTTGCAAAGTACCATGTGGCTGCAACGCGGCAGACTGTCGAGTGCATTCCATTTCAGCTCGCAGATCGCGAGACTGCCTGCCTCTTCTTCGGGACGATCCACGCCACGATCAACCACATCGCCGGGGTCGACAAGCTGTGGCGCCTGCGTCTCTCCGGACAGAGCAGCGCTGCGTGCGAGGCCTTCGACCGGTTCTACCGGAACGACCCGCAGTCGAGTGCGACGAGCGCGGAGCTTTGGCGGACGTACGAACCAGACTGGGCTCGCAGCACCGCTCTGGCAGTGGATGCTGCGGAAGCGACGAAGGCCTTCGTCCTAGCCCAGACGGAGGAGTCGTTGCTGGAGCTCGTCGCATACCATCGCACAGACGGGACTGAAGTGCAGATCCAGCGAGGAGCGGCTCTGATGCACCTCCTGAACCATGCGACGCACCATCGCGGGCAGATCCATGCGGCCCTAACGGAGGCGGGCTGCCGTGACCTCGTCCTCGACATGCCCGCGCTCCTGGGTGTGGAGGCGTGCCACTTCTAGTCGAGCCTTGCTGGCTTTGAGGCTTTCTCAACTGTTCATGCGGTCCAGTGCCGCCCTCCGCTCCTCTTTTCCCGACGCTCCTTGGAGAAGATGACCACGGGCAGGGAAAATGATGGATTTTCTGTATCTTCGACGAGCAGTCAGTGTGGTGACGCACACACACACACACAGACACCCACAGGCACACGCACACGCACACACAAACAAGCACACAAATACACACACACACACATTTACTTACTACTTATCTAGCTATCTATCTACCTACCTACCTATCTATCCATCCATCCTTCTACCGAACTACCTACCTACTTATTTATCTATCTATCTATCTATCTATCTATCTATATATCTATCTATCTGTTTATGTATCCATCTGTCTATCTGTCTATCCATCTATCTATCTGTGTATCTTTCTGGGTTCCTATTTGACAATCTATCTATCTACCTATCTGTCTGCCTATCCATCTGTCTATCTATCTGTCTTTCAGTCTATCTGTCCATCGGTCTGTGTGTCTGTCTATCTATCTATCTATCTATCTATCTGTCTATCTATCTGTCTATCTATCTACCTACCTACCTATCTATCTATCTATCTATCTATCTCTCTATCTATCTATCTATCTATCTATCTATCGATCTATCTATCCATCTATCTATCTATCTATCAAACTGTATACCTTAGTACATACGTACATACACGAATACATACATCCATGCATGCACACATACATACACGCACATACATATTATGTACATTCTGACCACATGTGTGTATACACATATATACACGTGTGGAGATAGAGGCGGAGAGAGAGAGAGAGAGAGACATCTAGGCTACAGATACAAAAATGATATGACTGGCGTGTGTGTGTGTGTGTGTGTGGCTTCATACGTCCACGTAACAGAAGCATCCATCCAGGATCCATCCGTCCGTCCATCTGTCTGTCCATCCGTCCATCATCCGCCCATGCCCATCCGTCCATCCATCCATCCATTAATGCAGGTATGTCGCCATGAGAGTATGTATTCTGCAATCACGTATGTATGCATGCATGTACGCACATGCACATACCACCCAGGTCCTGATGCTCTGAACCCCCCCAACTGAACCCTATACCCCGAAGCCTTGAATCCTAAACCCTCATCTATTCTACTGTCTCGGCGGGAAAAAGGGGCCACTGCACTTAAAAAAATGAACCCTGATCTAAGCCGAAAAAATCCTCAGAGCATGTCCCGGATCTTCTGAAACTGAGGTCGCACTCAATCCTCCTGCTGAGCACCCCAGCATTCTGCTCTCAGCACTTACAACCCCTTGAAGCCACCATGACTTAATGCAGAAGCCTGCAGCTAGGTTCCTGAGTAGTACCCTTTTGACCCTTTTTCTTTTTGGGCTCCCTTCTGAATACCAAGCTGTAGGAAAAAGGACACCCTGTTTATTCGGGGGGCTACTCAGTAATTGCCAATACGAATCCTGGAACCTCCTCGCTATAATTAGGGTTTAGGGTTTAGGGTTTACGGTCTCCGAAGCCTCTAGTATAATGTTTAAGGCCTCTATTATACTTGTTTGGGTTTGAGGCTTGGGGGCGGGAAACACCAAGTTTAGGGTCCAGGAGCCGGTTTGTTTCAGAGTTTCTCAGAGCCTTGAGGTCAAGTCAGGGTTTCAGGGGACTACAGGAGAGACCCTTACAGGGACCCTTGGGCTTCTACACGGGCTTTATGAGACTATATAAGGGGTACATAAGGGAATTTAAGGATTATGCAGGGTATTTGGATTAGGGGTCCCTTCTAGGGGTCCCTCCTATTGTCCCTTAAGGTTTGGGGTTTAGCGCACACCCGTTTCATAGCCCCCGAAAGCTTTGGAAAGACTGTGATTATAGTGGGGAAGTCTGACGAACTGCTAGAGACACCCCATTAGTGTTCCTGTAGAGGCACGTGGCTTATGTGCACCAAAGCCCTATTCCAGCCATGAACGGCCATACGACAGAACCGTTGCTATAGAAAGATACCTTACCCAACAAGGCAATCCTGTGAACGCCCCATATTCACAGTGCAGTACCGACCTATCAACAGCTAACTCAATAACCTGTAGCCCTAAACCCTGAACCCCGAAACTCCTAAACCCTATTAGAAGCCTTAAAACCCTAGACCTCAAAACATATATTCTGAAACCCCACATCCACTGATTCTGCCAGGTGATCGATCGAAACCAGGACGGTGCGAAGCTCAGGGCTCTTTCGGGGATCGGGCTCTAGGCTCTGTGGGGTTTGGGTTATCGGGTTTAGTCTTTCGGATTTAAGATACAGGATTCGGGGTTAATATAGGTCTAGGGTTTCGGATTCGGGGTTTAGGATCTAGGGTTTAGCGTCTAGGGTTTCGGATTCAGGGTTTAGGATCTAGGGTCTCGAATTCAGGGTTAAGGATTTAGGGTTTAGGGTACAGGACTTAGGCCATTCATGCAGAGCTTAAGAATTACAGGTTAGACATGTTCCTGTGGTCGTTGTCGGTGTCATTCTCACTGCCGCTCCTTGCGGCTACGCTGTTCTCACACTCTGTTTGACGAAGCTTAGGGTCTTTAGGAGTTAAACCCTAAACCCTAATGTAGGAACCTGATGAGGACACCCTGGCCCTACAATTTCAATATATTGGGATTCATATGAAGAACCCTAATCAAGACCCAGGGTTTCTTAATCAGGCCCCTATATTAGGGTTTAGGGTCTCCGTTTATGGAGAGAGGAGTCTTCTGGCCATAAAGCCGCAGTTGTTCAGAGATACACCAGCCAAAAGGAACAACCGGTACAGCGAACTGAGTTAGGAGCATGGAGCGCCCGATTGATGATCTACTTCCCTTGCCTCGCCTCAGCCCGAAAGGGAGAGGTAACCACATTTCCTACCAAAATCCCTGAAACAGCCTAGAGAAACCCTCCCTAAACCCTAAACCCTAAACCCTAAACCCTAAACCCTAAACCCTAAACCCTGTACGACCCATCATGGAAACCCTTTTGTTCAAACTCTGAACCCCAAGCCAAGCTGAGTTAGGGTTTAGGGTTTAGGGTTTAGGGTTTAGGGTTTAGGTTTCCTGGCCGTCGACGAGCTCCGAGAAGCACTCGGCAACATGCGGATCCCCATCGGCGAAGAGGAGAAATTAGGGACTTAGGGCTTTTAGGATTTCAGGGTTTACCGAAACCCAAAGTAGGTACAATAGTGGCTCGAAACCCATAAAGGGCGATTATTCTGCACACTCTCGGGGTCCAGGTAAGGTTCAGGGCGCGGGGCTTAATATAGGGGCCGAAATAATTACCTAGACTAGTTTGGGGCTTCCTTACTATATAGCTATAGTATAATTATAGCCCAAAACCCTATTCTAATTATTAAGGCCCCTACATTATCTCTTGTGTTTCGCAGGGATTTGTAGTACTTTTGTACATCCGTCATCCCCCTAAACGCACGCTCCGTTTTCATAACGCGTTGATGTCGGCTGCTGTTCGTAGCACTCTTCCCCTGCCACCGCAAGTGGTCGGCTTTCGTGTTGAACCATGAAGAAAGGCTACCTTAGCGGTTTTGGGTTTAGGGTTAAAGCAGGTAAATTGCCAGGTAGGCCTTGGGGACATTTTTTGTATTTCCCCTTCTCTGGCCTATGAGGATCTTGTTGAAGGATCTTGTTGCCGAATGTGGCCTTAAAGGGCCAACCCAGAAAAGCAAGGGGCGCTTCTTGGAAATCCTTGGTTCACACATCCCCTGTGCTATAGTAAGTGCCAACTTGTGAAGCCGACATGGATAGTATGAAGCGAGAGAGTGCTTCTGCACCTCCCGCACAGGAAGCCTCGAAGTGCTTGCACTTTTGGCTTTCTTGTTATTCGTTGTTGCAGCCTTTTCGCGCCGTTGTTACTCCCACTACAGCTGCCCATCGCTATTACCAGTCTTGTTGCTGCTCGAAAGAGCGGAATTAATGTGACAGCGTGTAATTTTGACAGGAGTGGTTTCAGTACCTTCATGTTCTTTTGTATGTATTAGCTGCAGAATTGCGATTGTGGGATCCCTGGTTCTGCGAAGCCCCGCATTCTCCTTCTCGGGAGGAGCTTACCCGCATGTTCAAGAAGGCATGCGTTTCGTTGGCTTGCGAAGGTTGAAAAGCAAGGCCCCACACCTGAACCCCCGACACAACCTACCCTAAACCCTAAGCCTTAAGCCCTAGACCCTAAACCCTAAACCCTAAACCCTAAACCCTAAACCTACACCCTGAACGCCACAGCCCGAAGGTCTCATTTGCAAAGCCCCAGAGCCTGAACCTTAAACCCTAAACCCTAAACCCTAAACCCTAAACCCTAAACCCTAAACCCTAAACCCTAAACCCTAAACCCTAAACCCTAAACCCAAAGTCCCAAGCCACGAGAACTGCAGCCCTGAACCCAACAGCTGGTACCTTAACCAGCCTTACCCCACCAGAGCCAAACATATTTATAGGTAGGGTTTAGGGTTTAGGGTATATTTTTCCCCCTATAATATGTTTAGTTTTTGTAGGTTCTCATTATAAACCCTAGTAATGAATGTGTGAACCCTAAACCCTAGTGTTGAATTTATGAACCCTAAACCCTAAACCCCATGAGGGACCCTACAAGAATGTAGGTTCTGGTGGCTTCAGGGACGTTCCAATGCCCGAAACCTTCTAGTTGCCAGGCCCGTTAGCTTGTAGGAGGTCTTGCTCTTAGGGTTTAGAGGGTTGAGGTTGAGGGTTCAGGATTTAGGGTTTAGGGTTTAGGGTTGAGGGTTTGGGGTTTAGGGTTTAGGGTTGAGGGTTTAGGGTTTGGGGTTTGGGGTTTAGGGTTATGCCTCTGAGTATTGCAGGGGGCTTCAGTCTGTTCCTTCCAGTTTTTGCAGGCCTCTGCAAGGGACCGTTGGTTGAGGGATCATCCTTAAATTACGGCCGGGATCCTTAAATGAGAGACCCTGAACTACGGGGTTTAGGGTTTAGGGTTTAGGGTGTTGGACACTGAGATTTA